GCATTAGGGCTTTTATCAAAAATATTTCCCCCTAAGTTTAATGGCGTGAAAATATATAGCCTAAAGCGTGACGTAAGTGTAGGGCTTTTTATCAAAAATAGAATTATTAAAAAATATGTAATTGCTGACATCTTAGGCAACAAAGAAGTGTGTGTTTACGCTTTATTATAATAGCATAGATTTCCCTAGGTATCACTTTGGTGACTTCTATGACTCGATGTCTATTAAAGTAGACTAGAATTTAGTACTTTTAATGCTAAACCAAAGCCCATACTCTAGTCATTTAATTGTAAAGCCAAATTGTTTTATTCTACGCAATTTACAGTAATAGCTACCTTCTACTCTATCGTTCGTTTCCTCATTCTTAAGGGTCGTGACCTGTCTTCTTTACCTTAAAGGGTATTTGTCTAATCTACAGAGTGAAACTTCTATAGTCTCTTTAATTATTTTTTTAACAAATCTGTCCAGTAATATGAGGGCACTATGATGCAAAACTTAACAGACATTCAATCTATAAAAAGAAACTTCTTTGTACCCATAAACCGCACCGGAAATATACAAAGTGGACAGTATTCATTAACGAAAATCGATTAATGTCAATTCACGAGTTCTCGATTCTCATAGCGATGTATCGCTAATCAAATCGATGCGTACCCATTGCTCTAGATTGGTACAAAGGAAATGGAATTTGTACCGATGACTTCAGATTGTGGGCGGTGTTAAGTAAGAATGGTTATTGTACACTGTACTAATTTAGTAGATATTGGACAAATAGTTTTTTGGGATACTTTTGGTCGAGATGCAAGATTTTTTCTAGTCTTCGTATGTTGACTTATTTATAGATGACTAACTTTCGCCTGCGACTACGTACGCGTGGAATATGAAACAAAAGTGAATAGCCTATGTGTTCTTCCAGACTATCCTCTACATCTATACCAAATTTCATCGAAATCCATTCAGCCGTTTAGACTACAAACTCTGACAAACATCCATCCATCTAAACTTTATAATATTAGTATGATTTTCATCCTTTTCTCAATTAGGCCAAACCCCTATTTTAACTTTGAGATATCCTTTTTAAAATGTAATTGTCAAGTAAAATTTTCTTTGAAAAATATTCCCTAAACCTAATTTATTTTAAGAAAAAATATTGGATATATACAAGGCATTAAATCTTCATTATATTGTTCAGGACGTTTGCTAAGAGTTCTAAGTTATGTACATTAGGGCGCCACTAAATATTCTACTGGCTGCACGTAATAATGGCCATAGCTCCTTAAAAAGCCATAATGGCGGCTGAAAAAAAAACGCTTCTAGAAAGCCCCATTTCGAACTTTTCAAATACAAATTCGGAACTATTAAGAAGTGGTTACACTGTCCTGCTCTAATTTTATTTATTTACCACAGATATATTTTAAATATTAAAGTTTAAAATGTTTGCCCATTATAGTTTGAAAGGTTATAAAAAATATTTGCCGTTTAAAATTCCGTCCATGTTTTAAAAAATTTAGTTGAAATTTGTTATTTTCAACCGAAATCTACCA